ATGAAAGAGAATTTATTATTACTTTTATTTTTACTTTTAAATTATAATTATCTTTTATTATTTATTTTTATTAATTACCATTCCAATTTTAAATTGTTTCTTATAATTTTTCTTACTGGATGTAGCAGCGCCAAGTGTTTTTACATGAAAAATTTTTCTATTTAAATTAAATTTTTTCATTTTATATGGTTAATTCTCTAATTTTTTGTGGTAACACTTGAATTGAGCAAGGTACTCTCGTACATATTCAGTTATAAGCTAACTCTAGACGGAAAAAACGCCAAACAGCTTCACTCCCGCTTAATTTCCTCTTCAGAAGCGTTTTTTTAGAGAAGTTCCTGAAGATACTATTGAAGCTTACGAATTCTTTGCAGACCATTTGAGGAATACAACGCGCTCGCTACTTCCGGAAAAAGTACATTTTCCTAGAACGGTGCCGGGCACCTAGTGAAAGAAAACATCCTCCTTGGTGGACGGAGGAGTGCTCCAAGGCCATTCGGAAAGAAGAAACGCTGCCAAGACATATCAACGGTGCCCCACCCTGAAGAACTTTCTGGCTTTTAAAAAGGCCAGGGCTGCATGCTCCAAGAAACTCTGTAGAACAAAACGGAAACAATGGAAAAAATTTGTGGACTCTTTTGAATAAGACTCCCACGGCTGACATCTGGCGTTTAATTAAGGCTTTCAAGAGACGCAACATGGCTGATTTCAGTAAAATGATTCCAGATCACGAGCAGCAACGCGGTCTTCTATCCGAGGCAAAGAACAAGATCTGTCCCCCTTTCTGCCCTCCAAACTTCAACATCAGCTTGGAATTTATGATGGCGGAGGATCTCTACCAACAAGAGAGAATCTTTGGTACTCTGGGGGATCCCTTTACCAGGGAGGAACTTAACCTTGCTTTAACTCAAGCTAACAAAAAGTCAGCTCCAGGGCTCGACCAAATCAGTTACGTTATGCTGGCCTCTCTTCCTGAAAAGTACCGAGAATTCCTTCTGGATATATTCAATCGACTTTTTAAAGAAGGAATCGTCCCGAATTTATGGAAGACTTCACTAATCATCTTCATTCCGAAACCCAATAATAAGGGCCTGAGACCTATTTCACTTCTCTCTTGTGTTCTTAAGACCTTTGAGAAGATCGTATATTACAGGCTTCAATAGCTGGCAGAATCGCAGGCATTATTGCCCCAAGAACAAATGGGCTTCAGGCCTAATAGATCCTGCTCTGACAGTCTGGTCACTCTTACCAACAAAATACAAGCCAGCTTTCTGAATGGGGAGGCCGTTGCTGCGGCTTTTCTGGATATAACGGGAGCGTTTGATAACGTGCTGCCACTATCGGTACTAACGGAACTCAGAAGAATTGGAGTCCCTGCCAAGATTCGCAAATTTGTCGAAAATACCATTACTCACAGATCAGTCGACTTTGTTGAGGAGGGCCAACTCAGCCAGAAGTTTGAAACCAACAAAGGTATCCCCCAGGGCTCTACACTCAGCCCGCTTCTTTTCAATATCAGCGTCAGGGAGCTGGACCTTCATCTTCATCCTAATACTCAATTTTTACAATATGCAGACGACATAGTTATTTACTCTTCCTCTGGACAAGCTGGGGAAGCTGTTGAGAGCATACAATCATCACTTGACATCATGTGCCATTATCTAAGAGAGAGGGGCCTGGAATTGTCGCCGTCCAAGACCAAGTGGATTTTATTCTCCGGAAGGAACTGCAGAGATGGTGATACCGCGGCCCTCGAACTCTACATCGACGCTCAACTGGTGGAGAGAGTTACTTGCACGAGATTTTTAGGGATTACGCTTGACTTCAGGCTCAACGGCATGGATCACTTCAAACAAGTTATCAAGAAGGGCAGGTCAATTATTAATATTCTGTCTTCCCTCGCAGCAGTGTTGTGGGGTTCCCCCCCTCAGTTGTTAATTACAATTTATCGAGCGGTTTTCAGAGGCTCCATCGAATACGGGGCGCAAATATTTGTATTGAATAATAAAAAATCTTTATTATTACAATTGGAAAGAATACAGTATAAGGCTTTGAGGATTGCCTTAGGTTACAAACAATCGACCCCTATTAATGTCATCCTATTTGAGGCTAGGGAACCTCCTTTAAGACTTAGGTTTACTCATATGTCTGAAAGATATACTCTCAAATCAATCAATAGAAGAGGCAGTGCGGTTGCACGCAGCCTGCGTTCTCTGAAACTCGCGGCTGTAACATCCCGGGAGAAATCTTTCGCTCTCTCGGTGTCACCGTCTTTCAGGTTTCACATCACCAACAGACATATGATAGATAAGTCATTCCAGTCTACCATGCATCCAGCCTTTGAAACATCATACCATGATTTTATTTCACGTTTCAAGTATTTGCAACCTGTCTCCGCCAATAAGGACAAATCAGACGAGGTAATTAAGCAGGAATTTTTGGACATCAAAACTGAGAAACTCGACAATTACTTTCTATACCGATGGATCGAAGCTGGATGAACAGGGCTCCGCAGGGGCGGCCACCTACTCTCCAGAACTTGAAGTGAGCTTTAGATACAAACTAACTTCGGATATAACGGTTTTCACGGCTGAGGCCTGGGCGATTTTTCAGACCCTTCTTCTCATTCAGGATGCAGGATACACAAAGGCTATAATTTTTTCTGACTCCAAAAGTGTCTTAGAATCGATCAACTCTTGCAAACTTATTAACAATAATTGTGTCATTCACTGGATTAAGCGCCTTTTACGGTCTTCTTCGTTGAGGGGCATTGAGGTCTTTCTGGCTTGGATTCCCGCACACCGAGGGATCCGTGGTAACGAGATTGCGGATGCAGCTGCCAAGGAGGCCACTGCGGAGGATTTCAGGGACAACTTTAGACTTCCCTCATCGGACCTGGCTCTTCTTGCTGACAGGAGGGCGTTGGAACGCTTTGCTGGCTATTTTGAGGAAGCCTCCACACGCACTGGCATACAATACGCCAGTCTCTATTCTGATCATTATGGAAAAACCTGGTTCCAACGCATGTCTCTCAACAGACAAGAAATTGTACTAATCAACAGACTGAGAGCAAACCATTATAATTTAAATTACAGCTTACACAGAAAGAATATGGTGGATTCACCTGCGTGCACGTGTGGAGATCCCAGACAAGATAATCACGTCATTTTCCATTGTCCTCTATCTCGCGGCAGATTTGCACCTTTGAGTAAATACTTAATGAAAAATCTTCCTCATCATTCGCGAGATATATTTCCCATGTTAGCTAAACCTTCTCCCAAATTATGTAGACTTTTACTCGCATTCTTTAAATCATTACAGTTATTTATCTGAAGCTGCTCCCCTTTCCTCCTCCGTCCCTCCGCTCCCTCTCCGATGCCTCTACGCGTTGCGCGGCCCCCGGAGGGGGTTGGGCTGGGGAGGATTTGGGGGGGGGGGGTTAATATCATTCCTCTGTTTTAGGAACTTAAGAAAGCAGTGTACAACGAGTTGGTATCCCTGGTATTCCCGGGGACCATGGTAGTCATAATACTAGCAGTAATAGACCAATACTTGCAAACCAATCTACTTCCTTATAGGCGATGCGACTGGCCAAGCCTACCTCGCTACCGAGGACCCGAGCCAATCAAATAGAAGAAGAAGAAGAAGAAGCTAGCTAATAGCCAGTTGTATTAGGTTGTAGCAAAATGAATTTCGTTAAAATATTTTTAAATGAAAAGGGTGAAGAACAAACGTTTAAAATCGATCCTACTAAAGTAGAAATAATTCAAGGTAAGATACATGTATAATGGAAAATATATTGCCTCGATAGCCTAAAGGTACAATTTCATGCAGCGAAGCTTCGCTGGCGATGATCCCCCACTCCGACGATTCATGCATAGCCAGCATAGCTAGCGAAAAAATGCTCATAGTTGAACATTATTCAACTATTATCGAAGCAACGCTGCCACGACGCTGCGAAACACTATATGTAACATAACCTATTTTGTTTGTATTTTCTAAATTTTGAGAAGCTTTGAGACCCATTTAGCCTTCTTCTTGGTCTATTCCACATTTATTCCGCCGGCGAAGGATAGTAACTTACCAATGGATAACAGTAATTCAATAAACGTAGACGAAGTATGTATATAAATATACATATAAATATTTATAGTTATAGAGTTATAGTATTCATAGTATCAAACATTCATATATTAGGTTTCTCTTTATTTCTTTCACTATCTTTTATATATTATATTGAAGATGTGTGTGTGTTTCATTTTATTATATAATATTTTATAATATTATATTTACCATACTTAGTTTGTATTTTAGAATAATTTAAATATTTCGTACACATGCGGCGTATGCGAAACTATTATTAATGAGGATGATTTGTTGTCTCATACATGCTTCAATAAATACAATAACGTCTGCATTGATGACAATTTTTACTGTTACCCTCAGTGCGGTGAGATCTTTACTTACTACTTATTTATTCGAAATTGTCTTACAAATATTTCGCGTCTGCTTATTACCAAAACTCGTACTGTAATGTTACATATGACAAATCCCTGAATAACATTATTAATATTATTGACTACATTTACACGGACGCCCTTAATCAGGTTTAATAACATCCGTAGTTAGAAACTGGCCAATCACAATTGTTCCATTCTTCCGAAGAACAACAATAATTGGCCAATTTCACAACTACGGATATTATTAAACCTGATTAAGGGTGCTATGTAAAATGAGTCTCAGTGAGTCATTGTTGTATTCAGCTGTAATCATTGTTACTATTATTATTAGAGAATGGAACTATATAGTTCACAAAAGCCTGATACCTGATGGTACAAAAGCTGTCGTTACAAATATACCACATACAGTAAAGGGTGCTGTAAATTCACATGAGTCAGTGGACTTAGAAACGAAGAAGATGGAAATAGAAGAACAGTTAATCAATGAAGTCTTTAAACGACCTGGATTGTGGAACTTCAAGCTACCTGTAACTGAACGCAGTCCACAAATAAAGAAACAGGGAAGAAGTGTATGAAGCTATGAACGGTAATATTGTTGTTGCTAGTGTTATAGTATAAGGTTTTTCTATAAGTGTTATTTATGTTAGAAAAAAATATTGATTTATCAAATTATGTATTTCCATCTTTTTTTAGGAATATTCTCTTCCATCGAGATGATAAAAAGCAAGTGGAAATCGCTATCAGATTCTTTTCGGGTGCATTCAAAAAAGAATCAGCAAGCGAGTGGATCTGCAGCGAGTGGAAAAAAACCGTGGGTACATCTCCAACGTATGCAGTTTTTAAATGATGTATAGCTAGAAAGCAGGTATGCATGTATAATAATAATGATAATAATAATTTTTGTTTATGAATGTATGTAATAATCGATTTTCTTTTCATGACAGAACTGTCAGTAATATCGAGAGCATGTCAGAATTTGATGATTCACAATCGAATGTTTTTCACGATGACAGCAACAGCTGTAACAGTAGCAGCAACAGTCGTAATACATCAAGTATGTTTATTTTAATAAGATTAATTTGAAGAATATATTTATATGTCAAAACAAATCATTTTATAAAGAATACGTAAGAATTATGAATTCATACATTGAAAAATGTATTCAGCTTTATCGGTGGAACATTCATTAGTTAAAGCGGAATCGAATCGCGCATAAAAAATTCAAAATAGAAAATTTATGTAATTTTGCTTGTATGAAAGAATGACTATTTTTTATTTCCTGGTTTAATGGAGGTAAATACATTTTTCAATCTATGAATTCGTAATTCTTACGTTTTTTTTTACAGGATATGAATATTTCCCCCACGTGGAGCATGGCCTTGCCGTGGCGTGGGGGCTCCCCCGGGTGCCGCTCTCGCGATCGGGGCCACCGTCAGCACTGGCGGGGCAGCCGGCCGGGGACTTGCTCCCGGAGGTCTAACAGTGCCCTGTGCGGGTACCTCCGTTAAATAGGAGGGACCTGCACACCAGGATCAGGTACCCCAAGGGCCCCGCGTTCTCTTCGGAGGACGTGGGGCCTGGGGTGGCCCGTCCTTTTCAGGACAGTACCCCCATTGTATCGGTAGGAGAAGGTAACTCCGATTTCAAATCCCGGCGACTTGGCGCCGTAAGGGGGACATTTGGTCCCTTCCCATGCGGGGATATGGAGGATCGCCCTCCATGGGTGGTCGGCTCCCGTGGGGCCCCCTCTCCTCCCCCCCCTGTGAGGTGGGGTGGTTCCCTCGGGATACGACCACTCGAAGTGTGCGACGCGGGTGCTCTCGCAGGCGTGGCTGCCCAATGTCCGGGTGCTTCTGGCTTTGGGCGGCCACACGCCATGGGATGGGGGGTCCCCAGGGAGAAATCCCATTGCACGGGGACCAAAATGCTAGGGTGCCGGCCGGGCCTTAGGGTTATTGCACGGAGCGGCGTCCCTAGTGAGGGGTGCGACCGGCTGCCCCTAGGGGCAGTTGGTCGTAGGGAAGGGAGCGAGGCAATCCGCTCCTCTTCTGGAGGGGGGGGGTCACACGGCCGCTCGGACGTATTCCGAGGCAGGGCGCGGCGGGGCGTTGTCGAGGGAAGGAAAACCCTTAAAACCCGGAAGGAAAATCGTACACCCGGCTTGAGGCGGCTTGTAAAATTGCCCCAAATTATGATGTAATGGAGAAAATTAGTAAGACCATTACGTCAGCAGCCGTGGTCGGATCCGGCAACTGCCGGCGCGGGGGTGGTGGCAACCTGGCCGCCCCTGTGTCGGATCTGAAGATTATGGCCCAGGTCTTAAGCGACAGGCGCGCAGAGGGG